TAAATTTACTCTGTGGCTGTATTGCTTTAATTATGGTCTTCTTTTCTTTATAGTATTCGTGTTGTGTCCATTCTTCTTTCATAAAATTACCTACTGTAATTTCCATCATTATCATTATTCTGTAAAAGCTATCGTCTTCTATGCCATTGTTGCAATATTTTCTAATAAACTTTCCATCGCATCGATCTACTTCTAGACTTATTGATTACATTGAAACGGGCTTATGGGATCAATAAATTACCCAGTATTTATTTAAAAAATTGTAATAAGCCTACGAAACAAATAATGACAAACAACTTCAGTAAGCCCCGAGCGGCCGCTCGGTGGTTATCGGACGGCCGCTCGACGGAGCGGCCGCACCGTAGGATCCTTTAAACGAGGGATGATGCGGCCGCTCCGCTCGGCAAAAAGGCTTACGGAGCGGTCCGTACACTCTAAAAAAAAAGGTTTCCTCGGAAACCGATGCCCCTTCAGAAACCCTTTCGGAAACCTAAAAAGGTTTGCGAAAAGGTTTCCGAACTTATGTTGAGTTTCTGATAATACCTTGAGGGTTTCCGAGCATCCGGAAACCAATGGATTTTGGAGAGAGCGGATTCGGAAACCCTCAACCGTATTCTCGGAAACCGCTTTTGCTTCGAAAACCTTTTCGGATACCCATTGCGTATCCTCGCATTCCTTTGGGTTTTCGATATTTTTTTATCGAAAACCCTTTTGGGTTTCCGAGCATCGGAAACGGTCGAAGCGTTTTCCAGAAATCTAGCAAGGTTTCCGAACATAACTGGAAAACCCCTTAGGGTTTCCGAATGTTGCGAAAACCTTTGAGTTTCCGAGAAAAAGTTTCGGAAACCCATTAAATAGTATGCAAAACCCGATTAGCATTCCAATATGATCTTTTTTATTCTCATGTTCTATCGTGTGATTTTCAGGTAAAGCGGTGCTCGATATGCATGACATAAACCTTACTTAATTTGTGTGAAGTTGCTTTGTAAAACATAAGAAATCTGAGAAGTGTAAAAGAAGGCCTTGTGCCCAAAAGAATTCTAATTCGTTTTTATATTTCAAATAGCCTAAAATTTGGATGTATTATGACACATTTTACTGTGAAAATCGAGGAGTCGCGCTAAATTGGATGGTCACTATATGCCCTCTAAAGGCATCGTAGTCAAGCGATTTCGTGCCGAACTTAAGTTTTTCTTCCCTCGTTATACTATGGATACATGTTCACCAATATGAAATTCAGATCAACGTTAAGAAGTTAGATTAAGGGTTACAATAAGCGGACAGATATACATTAAAGAGTTAGAATAAGACCACGGAATAAGACATTACAACAACGAGTTAGAATAAGGGGATACACATAGATAAAGGACTTAGATTAGCACAATACATTTAGGGATAGATATAGATTAAGGAGTTATATTAGAGGTTAGAATAAAGGGGTAGAACAAGAAAGTAAAATAAGGGGACAGATACAGATCAAAGAGGAACAAACTGATTTCCGATTTCTTGATTGCTAGTGATTTCTGACGATTTCGAGTTAGAGGAAGTCCGCTACCGTTCCGTTGCCAAATAACCGGTAACGAAAAGTTTGTGAGTTTCATTTTTTTGTTAGGATAAGGCTATTTTCAAAAAATAACGATTTTCTATAAA